CCGACTCATTTGTGACGGCGGCTTAAATTTCAGATGATTTCGTTATGGGAAGTGCGGGCCGGGTAACAGGGGCGTAGCAAGAATTTTATTTGAATCGAGTTGTGCACAGTTTTGTTTACATGTAAAACCTAACGCTCGACTAGCTTGTATATTTGCACGAGCTCAGATCAAACAACCAATTGAATTTTTCTATTAAAAAAGTCGAGTCGAGAGTGTCACCGATCAACTCGGTATGAGTGTTAGGTTTCTGTCTACGTTGTAAGGTTTTACTAAATGACTCAATGACACGCGCTATTTTACATGCATTTTACAACGATTTTTGTTTTTCGTTTCGTCTTGATATATATTTTTTTGTTTGTTGTAGTTAATTTTATTAAGCGATGATGAGGTGTTTTAATAGAAAGTGGGATCGAAATAATTAATGGAGGCAGAACTGGAGAGAATCGGTCAAAGAATGTGTAATTCAATGTGTTGGAAAAGGCCCAAAAGATAATTACATGGCGGCCCATTTTATCTAATTTAGTTGGGCCAAATATTAACTCAATGTACTAGCCCAAGAAAGAATAAATTGAAAAACATCATGTGACGGCCCAAAAGTATCTATTTAAGTGATGGTAAAAACGTCATTTCAAACTTGAACATGAGTTGTCTTCTCCAAGCTCACGCATGAATAGAAACTTCAGCCATTGATGAGTAGAGCTGCTCAAAATCTTGTTCCTTCTTGTCTATGAACTTCATTTGTGCTCACACAACCCGAAATTAGACGGAGCTAAGTCAAAAATTAAATAGGGCTAGATATATAAATTTTTTAAAGGTAAAGCTAGTATTTTTTTTTACATGGGGCTGGAGCCCATCCTTGCCCATGGGTGGCTCCGCCCCTGCCAGGTAATATTGTGTGTTAATTTTTGAGGAAATTACTCTTCCAACGACCACACAACCATTTTTTTTTATACTCTTAGGTCAATAAAAACCTTTAGTTACCAAATATATTATGCAACATAAATATATTATCGGCAATTAAGACCGATTTATTGGGAGTAGTTACAAAATAAAAAGAAATGGACCCCGCTTTTCACGCCTAATTATTCCACACCTCACTCACGTTGAACTCCCCACTCAATCAACTCAACTTCTTTCTCAGTAAACCCTATAATCAATTTCTATGGCCAAAACAAGAATCCCACCCAAGAGCCAGTGAAACCCCCAGTCGCGGTGCCGGTGTAGATTCACATAAGGGTTCGAGTTCTCGTATAAAAAAATATTAGCCAGAGATAAAAGTGATCTCATTAAGAAAAAACTCGACAAAAGAAACATGAAGCCAAGTGGATCTCAGAAGGCCCTCGGCAACTCCAATCCCGATTCCGAAGACTTTCAGTCGGACCATAGTGAATTTCAATAGAAAAATACCCGGAGACCTCTTAAAAGAAAGATCCGCCAATGCAGTTGAAGGAGAAAAAACGTGGGATCCAAATTTTCATGGTGAAGATGAAATACAAACACGATAGATGGTTCAAAAGGAAATTTGATCGATGACTATAAGGATGAGCAAGTTTCGAAAAAATAAGACAGAAAATCGAAGAATACAATGGTCATTACAAAAAAAGAGGCAAATTAAAAAAAAAAGTCGTCGTTTGCCGTTCGAGCCTTATTATGCGTCGTCTCTTTTGCCAAGCCAAAACCCGATTTATAAAATATTTTTCGAACCAATGTCGTGTGTTAAATTGCCGTCATAATCCGTCGCTGGAATGTTTGTGAGAGGCAGTCTGTGGAGCGGCCTGGGTAACAAACTATATTTATTTAAACGGTTGACACGATAATGTCATTGTCAACAAATACAAATTTTCAACTGTCAATCCTCGAAATCAATGAGATGAAAACAAAATATATCATCAGTACAACGACAGTAACAAACACACCAAACGAGAGGCTCGTACTTCGCAAACGAGAGTTCCAATTCCACGATGAACTCATAAAGGCAACAACCAAGATCCGAACCACGAACGACGGGATTCGAAATGATGAAACTAAATAATCTACAATTTCAACACGAGAAAAAAGATAATGAGGAAGTTCGATCGAAGGAACCTTCCTTCAGAAATCTACATGCACGGTTGGGACGGACAGATCGCAAATCCCGACGACTCAAAAACGATGGCTAATTGATCGAACGGAACGAACAGGACCCTCCAAACCCTCAAACATGACACAGCTCGCGAACGGGATGCCGCTATCTCTCGGCTGCTGCTCCTCAACTTACAACGAACAGATCGCAAATCCCGACGACTCAACGACGGCGACTATGGATGGCGACTCGGTGAACAGGACGCTGTGATTACTCAGCGAAGAGGGATGATGCGTGCGCTTGTGATGGTGGACGTCGGCTGTGCTCGAAGGTTGACGGCGACTGCTGCAATGAGGGGACGCCGACGATAGAGTTGCATGTCGCCGAAAATAATGGCGCGAAGGATTTTTTCTTTTTACGATGCTGCGACGCTTCTTGAATATTGAAAATTAATCGTACCCTGTTGAAGAATGATCTCTTAGCTGAGATTTATAATAGAGATAGACGTGCGATCTGAGAAACAAACCTCACAGAATCTCAACGTCGATCACGCATGAGGGAAAAAGAAGATAAGGTTGCAGATTATTCTAATGTCCAAGGAATTTAACTAACATTGGCCATAAATTATATTAACAAACAACTGCTAAGAATTTACAAGGAAATGGGCCAAAAAACTCAACTTATTGAGCTAGAAAATTTTGGCATAAATGGTCAGTTTAATTATCCAGAAGGATCGATAATTCCCCAAGTAACTAGGGTCGAGTATCAAACTCAAGGCTCGAAAGAATACAAAGTGATACCAAGTATTCCAGATGATTTAACTAGCACTTAAATATGAAATAAAAGCAAGGCATATACAATTTATTAATTGCAAGCACATAAGAAAATAAAATACAAGCAAAAAACACATATAAAAATACAATAATTGCAAGCAATAATAAAATTAAATGCAACTAAAAAAACCCGAGAATTAACCTAAACCGAAAGGATAAGTACAATCTACACTCCTTATAAGATTACTGTTGTCAGAAATTTTACAAGAACAAGCATCCAAAATGATAATATACACAAGAGAGAAGTTCAAACCCCGAAGTTCAAATACTTCCTCTGAAATTCGATCTTGCTCTCCTGAGTCACATCGCCCTCGACGAAACGGCTCCGCTGGACTTTGACAAGTACCCATCATAGTTCTTCCACTTATGGACCCTCTGATCCACAGACCATCGGTACCTCAACACAAGTAAGGTTCTGCCCAACTTGCAGCTCGTCAAAGTTTACCACGTGCCCCGAAATCATGCACATAACTCCTCTACTCGAGGTGCACATATCTCTTCTACTCGAGGTATACAACATGTCGTGCAGTCCGGAAAACTCCGGTAGTAAGGTCAACTGTTAGGCTAGGTCATTGACTCGGTCGAGGACTTAAAAGGCTTAACAACGCACGACCGCTGCTTACTTCCCTACTCAGAACCAAGGTGTCCTACACCTCCCTCCATACTTAGGCCTCGTACGGGGCTATATGGATCGTCAGATGATAGCCATTGCTATAGGCGAACCCACCCATGGTAGCGATTCTTCACACGCAACTCATCTGTCAATACACAAGACCTCAACCAGTCTTACAATGTATTGACAACATGCTCCGATCGTCCACCCGTATGGGTTTGATACGTAGTACCAAGCTTCAGTTTCGTGCCCGGGTCACGCTGAACACTCGTCTACGATCTCGACTTGTACCGTGCGTCTCCGCCGCAAGCGTCGGCATGGCACCCCAAGCAGTCGAACTAATTCCATTATACTCTCATTCACTACAGTTTACACCTCCGGAACACATATTCTCTGCTCGAAACCTAAGGCTCCGTCCGATGTCACTGCGAAATCTCCTATTCTACCGACTTGAGAAACTCCCACATATGGCATAGAAAATTTATCTTTTGTCTATCCGGTCTCACAACTAGTGATACTCAATACCACTAGCTGCAATCTATGGCTCTACTATTTTGATCTCTAACTGGGAAACCCTCGAATCAACAACCCTTGCTAAGTAATCCAACAGACTAGCTCATCTTGACTCTTCTGACTACAAGTGTCGGCCACCACGTTAGCTTTCCCCAAACGGTAGCTCGAATCATCTTCAATAATGATCGACTAGTCCTAGTAGTTACGAGCCTTGATCGCGTCCCTTGGAACTTTTCGGTTATCTTCCGCCTTTAACTTACTACGATATACTTCGATTCCCTTGGATGAAATAATGCGACTGAGAAATCTCCATAGCTATTCCCAAAAGCTCGATATCTACTTGGTTCAATTTTTTCTTTTTGGGGAGACCTAGGTCGTTGCAACACGCGAAGATGTCCGGGACAATATGCATTACACGCGGACGATTTGACAATTGTGGTACGACTTGCTGACCTGGTATGTGGAAACGTAGCATGCCATGCATGACACGCTACACACGACATGTCTATAACATGATGGGCCCCATCGTTTGCAGCACGCCGTAGTCTGCATCACCTGCAGCCAGTAGCTAAGGTCTGTTTCAAATCATCGGTTATGTCTCCCTGTGTTATTGCGTGATCGAAGACTGGAAATCCTCAGTGTACAACGACTCAAGTCTAAACCTTCTAGCGACTAAGTACTCTCAAATTCCTTAGAGTACTTATTCTTCACCTTGAGCCGTTTGGGCCCATCTTCTTCGAGTTACCCTTTTTCTTCATGAAGGTTGATGCTCCCGATGTTGAGTCGACCCCGTGTTCGTTTTGATTATCTAGTGATCCTA